ATTAAGGGCAATGAGTTAATTCTAATTAGTGTTTCCCCTATGTATTTTCATGTAGTGTATCATGTATTCCATTTTTCCCTTTATGACCCTACTTTATTACATATAATACATAACAATCACTACTGGCGGTATGTTATGATCTTTCCTTGGAACGTTTAATTCCTTTCTTGAAGGAAAATGATACCTTGTTTTTAATAAGTTGTCGCAGCTTACATACTGCAGTTATCTCGGCTAGATAAATCTATTTTTAATATTCATTTCCTTTCTCTGCTTTCGAATAGGTAGTTTACGACCCAGTAGTTCCTGCATCATATATTCTTCGCATTCTGGCTATCTTAAAGTATTCTGTATAGTCAAATTGTGTGCACTCATGGTTGCTCTTATCACCTTTAAAATAACTTGTTCTTTTAAACAACTAAGTATCCCACAGTCCACCATTTTACTGTAAAATGGTGATGACACAGTATTCAGTAAAAAAAGTGGTTCCTAGCAACTCCGTAGCTCCAGTAAAGAGTGTCATCTAAAAAAATGTTTCTTCACTGAACTACTTGTTGAACTTTGTGTTTTCAGTAATAATGGAAAGTGGTTAGTACAGGAATCCAAGATACATGTCCCATCCTATTTGAAAGTCATCAGCCGCATGTATCCGGCTGTACGTGAGCGGTTTTGTTTCTCTTAAGTCCTGAAGCAGTCAATCCTGAGTTAAAGTTCTAGCAAGAAAAACATCACTCACTGAGAAGCATGTAGGTTCAGCTGACGAGTCCCAAATGAGATGAAAACTGAGTCCTAGCCTCCACTGCTAACCACTGTGCATCACTACTATCAAACTGAAGATAATAGCAATACTGAGGTATCTGCTCATCATCCCAAATCCCAGTGAAGCCCCATCAGTTTGCTTGAATCAATGATGGGAAATTCTATGCAATAACATTTATATTAACAGCGGTACATAACTGAATGACTGGTTTTCCAAAAAGTGAGGTTACAGTGGTTGAGAAATCTTATGAATATGTATTTAAACAATTCTACCGTATGTAGCTACATTTGATTCTACAAGAAAAAGTTTGACAATAGATTGCTTGCTTCATTCAACTGTATTCATATTTAGAACTGTAACCCTCATTTATCTCAGTCACTAAGGTAATTGTGCATTACAGCATGAATAAAAGACAAAAGTCGAAGTATTTTGCAGCTAACTCATTTTAATGCGATTCATCGTATGGGTTCATACAACTCCCACGTCTTAATGACCTGGATGACATTGGTCAGACTCCTTGATCAATGTACTCGACCTAATAGTCATTAAGTAAATAGAATTTAGAAATCGATACGGCTTCTCTATAAGGTAATTTATATGTCTTAGGGTCAGTTTAATTTCCATCTTCCTTGCCATCTCTTGAAGACACTTCAGGTTTCGTTTTCCAGTATTATAAAGTAATTTATTGTTAATGCGGTAATGAGAATAGACCCTTGCATGCAATTAATCTAATAAAGAAGCTTACATGAGTACAAATTTTATGCATTTCAGTGTTTTATCACCCAACTAAGGTAAAGTCAAAAAGGACATATTGCTTCCTGTCAAAATCATCATACGTTTGTCAAGAAAAATAGATGGAATACTGCATTATTTATAATGGCACATATTGCGAGGCACACCTTAACCCGTGAACATCCATACATGCTCCATCTGCATCTAACTTGAAAGTATCATTTTGAATGATGTAATAACGGCTTCCATTACTTATCGATACTTTTAATTTCCCTGTTTTTATTCTAAATCGAACTTACCGACCATCGTTGGCACATAAGCTCCTATACGGTTGCCTCGATATTGCCCGACTGTTTATTGTGAGTTGTGGTTTTCCTGGCGGTGCCTATCAATGAAATCCAGTCCTATTTTAGATCCATCAAGCGGATGTACCTGTCTGCTAATGAGTACTGTTTTTTGCAGTCACTCTAACCCAGACCAACAGTTTCAAAAACCAAAGCTTTATGCACCACCAACCAAATTAAAACATAATCAATAACCAAGGAGTAGCGAGGCATTTTCATATTAGCCCATATCCCAATAGAAGTCTATGAATTCAATCCTGAATAGCAACAGGAAATTGTAAATATCAATAAATAATGATAACTGATACCCATTGCACAAACGTTGGCTCTCATCTCCTCCTCGGTTGCTTAGTGAATGACGATTTAGTGTTTGAAGCGTTGAGAGCTGAGTTCACGTTTCAACAGGAGGAACGTCATTCACTGGAGTCCAGGTACATTCAGTTGATGCCATGACAGCTTATCCATTTATTATGTCTTATTACCTAAACAGCAAGGAAACTACTCTTACTGTGTTACCAACACACCAACCTACATAAATAATAATGGAAGAAGTTAAAGAAATACTAATGCCTGTTTACGACAACTTTGATCAGCAATTCATTCATATAAGTCAATTATTCTGCCATTAAATTAGTTTTCAGTGTCTGACTGGGCAAAGCACTTCACAGATTTTGTTCATAGCACTTCAATGAAGTCTCTGTGAATGCATACATGCGGAAAAAAGATGAAGTGAAGTTTACGACTTCCATTTTACCCTAAGCTTTGCAGAAACGTAATGATAAACAAAAGTCTGCCAAAAAATTAAAGAAGAGGATCAAAATGTTTTGTAAGTTGTATTTGATTTATAAAAAGGCCTAAATCTAATCTTATACCCTACATATATACTGTTTGTGTTTCTGTTGCCGGATACACACCAACTAGTACGATCTTTAAACCTGTCTTATAGCTTAACGAACTGAATGGAAAGAAAAATGACATTGGACTGAGAGGGGATGAAAATATTTTCCTTATTCTCTGGCAGAAACTTTAGATTTGATAAGTAACATATGAAAGTAAATAAATTGTCACATGAATCATTTAACCATTTTAAAAATCCTTTATCTATTTATTTATTTTGTGGTGAAGCAGCATATGTAATAACTGTAATATACATTGCCATGTTGTAGCTTGATTTGATTCCTGTTGTGAACAACATCGCTCACTACGGGGATAATACATCCAAATTATGAACCCCAGACAAGACGAGATACGCGTCCTGGGTCCGTCATTTCCGGATATATTGCTATATTGCATAAACTTCTAACTTCATTCAAAACTGTAACAAACAGTAAATTTCATTATTGAATGCATTAACAGCAAAAAAGAAACTCAGAACTACTCAATGGTTAAGAAAAGCTTAGCACAAACTTTGTATCAAATCATCATGCATTCTTCATGTAACAACTACAGAAACAGACGCGCAGACGACACTGTGTTCAAGAGCTTATGGAGTTGCAGCTTTTTATCCAGAAATTAAATATAAAATCATTTATACTATAGAATTCAACGATTAGGTATTTATTGCACTTGAACAAGAAATGAATCTATTTTAAGATGAAACTCCTCAACATTTAGGAAAACTTAAGTGCCTTATTGACTCCTTTGCTTAGCTGTTTGCGACGGAACATGTATCCACAATCATAAGGAATGTAAAAAACATCTGTCAGTTTATCAATTTGTGAATTAATAGTATAATAAAGACAATAGAAGGCAGGAAATCTTTCGAAATTACTGTCATTGTAAGCAGATAACTACGTCAAAGAATATATTGCTTTTTTAAGTATATTTTTATAAATTTGAAATTAACTGTAAACTGCAAGAATAGTGCATAACGGCGAGATTTTAACCTGCTTCCTGATAATGTTTCCATTAATCAATGAAAAGTAGTATAAACCAAGTGTAATATGATAAATAAGATTGGATATTCTAAAAAACATCTCTCTAAATTACATAAATAATTAGTGAAATGTGAGAACTTAGGTGTGATAATGAACATATACGGATAAATTTATCTTGATAAACATTTAAAGGGTAACAAATAAAGAAAATTGTCAAGGGAACTAAATATCTACAAATATAGATTATGTATCTATGATAAGTATACTTAATAGACTGAATAGTATATAGTTACCTTACATTGGTTGCTTGACCAGATTTAACATGGAGATTTGTGATTGTTGTTTATCTAATTGATACAATGTAGTTGATCACTAAACAACTAAATCACAAGTCTTCCAAGTTTTTCTGGAATACATCATTACATTTGATGAATTAAATTCGTCAGTGAGCATCATGATGAGGAAAATGAACGTTTCTCATGAACTATTTGTCTATACTGCAAGCTTATTTCCTTAGGGTTATGTTAAATATTTTAAGCAAATCCATTTATGAGGAAACATCAATGGTATTTGAGCGTCAAACCATTTCATCTGCTTCATATCATAGAATAAAATACTGGAAAAGAAGCAAAGTTCTAAAAGTAACTATTTTATCCACTAGACTCAAATGTCTATGAGTCGATCCAGTTTCTACGTGCATTGGTCCTAACATGTCTGTGCATTATTGTTTATCTCTATGGCAAAAGTATTTATCCATTCACTGATCAGCTTGAATTAGACTGCAAAAGCAATTTTCCTTTTATGAAGCGTAAGTAGGCGAATGGGAGTGATAAAAAGACAAAAAGGTAAATAGTAAATAGACAGGCAGATGGAGAGAGGAGAAAGGTGAGCAAAATATTGATTGATATTCAGCTATATCAAATTGAATAAGATAAACAAACATACTCATGTATGATTGGTTATTGGAGACTGATCAATGTGATTTTAGCCTTTAGGCCAAAGGTAGCAAATGAGACGGCTTCAACAAACATTCTGTATTTCAACAATAGGCCAACCATGAAGGGGTCTTAGATAAGCTGAATGAAAGCAGAAATTTTTGAGTTTAAAAAAGTTGAGTAACATGAGAACGCCTACGCAAAGTAATTTTTATTCTTTCATCCGATTCTCATGCAATCTTTGAGTGATTATCCAATAGAGATTACTATTTGTCTGAATATATAAATTCGAGTTTACGAACGCTAATATTCATTCAGTAGTTTTAAAACACTTTCCTCCATATTGGTTAGATTCATGCTGAGCGTTGGTGATTTGCTTAGAAGAGCTTTATGGCTTCTTATCACGTTGCATGGAATATTCTCTTTTCCTAGTACAAAAAATGAGTACACAATTCGTATGCCAGGAGTTAGGTTGACACAGGTGATTTGAATTAATATTTACACTTTGATAATACAAATAATTATATATATGCTTTTTTGACTTTTAGGATGATGAATACTGGTGTTATGCTCAAAAACTTGACAATGAAACATTGTACATAAGTGAGTAATTTGTGTATTCCATGGTTGCCAACTAGGTTTACAAATACTTGGTGTAAGATTAGATGCATACTGACATAAACGGAATTAAGTAGAACACGAAAATCATTTATTTTATTCTATAGTATCATTTTTTTTATTACGTTTTAGACTCCTTTGTTAACCAATGACCTCTAGTTAAGTCTCAGTTTTTATTATTTCTCAATAAGTTCTCAGAAATCCATAAGCATCTAGATTCAGCTTGTGAATATCACTAATTATCTATGCCTAAATCGCCATTGTTAGAGTAAGTTACAAGTAATACTGCCACTTATAAAGTCGTGAGCCAGCTGTTGTTACTGTTGTCTCAAAAGTATATTCAACTAAATTGAAACTACACAATCTCAATATATTTTAAATGAAATAATTTAAAAGCTTTTTCTGTTAGACTAGTTCAAGATTGTTCTTAATTTTAATTTTTTCTCAGAAGTAAAACTACTCATCCTAATCTGAGATCAATGAAATATTAGAGTTGTTCTCAGTCTCACACTGATATTTATATGAATATAACTGATGCCTTACATGTTTGATTTACCTAGTGTCCAACATTTATAGTTGCATCTAATCAAATTCTAACCAACTTCTATCTAAATGAAGTGAACATAGTTATTTCATATAGTGGCAAACGCTTCAGAAATGCTTGAATGCACTGGACACTACAATAGAGAATCTCTGTACTATTACTATTATTCTCATCTTCATGACTTTGTGGTGGGATTATTTAAGATTGACTGACCTTAAAATATCTGTTCACCTATTTATTTTTGCTTTTTACTCTAGCCAACAATAATTTTCTTTAAGCTCATTAGAAGTCACTCAGCGATGGCTAAAAGGGAACAAACTTTATATGTGAGAAGAATGTATAATCCCACTTGTAATCACTTTGCTTGAAAATTACTTTGGGCAAGACAACGATTCTTTAGTGCATTTGTAATAAATTAGGTTTCTTTAATTTTAAAAAAATAGCCTCCATTACGAAGTTTCGATTTCTCATAGATTGACTTGCTCATCTGTAGACACCTGGTTAACTTAGAGTACGCAGATGATATATTCCCACTAGCAGACTCTACTGAATGAGTTACGCAGATGTATGGCTTTGTTAGACATTCGTTTTAAACCTATCGCATATGAGAGTACGCTTTAGGATTGATTTGCACCAATTTTCATTTAAGGGAGAGAGAGAGAAGTGGTGAAACATCTTGACCCATCCAGTATATTAGTCCTAGGGAGTTAGTTGATGATGAAATATCAACTTGGACAGAAAAGGTGTAGTTAGAATTTGCTGCTTTAAGCCACTTATTGTACCACGGAAACATTCGATTAAATACCAAAGAACGGGTATAATGCACATCTATCCACTCTATCCTGTTATATAGTTGTCAAATACACCTGTTATGGGTCAAATATTTGAAAGTTTAGACGGTTCTCTTGCCATATATGACTTTGTAGGCTTACCAATGTTCAAAAAATTATCTTGTAACTGATATTCAGGTTGGGTGTAGAGTATTAAGCAAAGACGGCATGGCAGCTGGTGAATTTGTAAACTCACCCTGAATGACGGCTTTTGGAAATGTGCTACAAGTATAAAACCATCATCCACTTCGATGTACAATGTTAACCTAGGTAGAACTGGGTTTCAGAAAGGTTAAGTGTGGTTAGAACACGACACGGGACTATTCTAAGATTTCTTTGTCTTTTGCAACGGACTGCATATTGTTTGGCTTGAGTTTTAGAAATTATAGGAATCAAGGGTTGAGAACTATTTGTCTCATGTCCTGGTTTGGTCAACATAGTAAAGATACATACACTATTCGTTGTCTCCTAAGCCTTAGTGATTTATATTAGCCTTCATTTGATTATGCTTTGTCTTTTCATATACTTTTGCCAACTTTCCATTTCATTCGTTTTACTTCTTGGTTCTATGTACAAACTATATGAAGTGTGCTAACATGAACTGACGCTCCCTTGTGACAGGTTGTAAGTCACCTTTTCTTGTCAGTTACTGAGTAAGTAAATGCACCAGTATATCATCACAGATGTAGATTACTGATAAGTAGTAATGAGTGTTTGTTTTCAAACCATGAAAGTACTGATAAAAATAAATGATGAAATATTTTATAACTGAGGAAAATCATGCACGTGCACCTCACGGCGATGATGACAATCAATTTGAATATAGTATGGTGATCTAATGAGTATTTATTTCGGTTTCATTTTGAAGATCACCAAAATCTAGATTTATCAGTAACAGCTTACAGTTTACTAGCAAATATGTAGAGTTGAGTTTAGATTTGGGCTCTCAAGCCAAAGTTTTGACGATTCATGCCTTTTCATGTAAATAAATTATGCGCTACGTATGACCACCCACTTATTACTTCCACTTCCATGCATGATTATAATGGGTAATTTGTAAAAACAGGAAAGTAATAACACTAAAACATCTTAGTGAAATATAAAGTTGCCAAGTGTTATTCTTAGTTAAAACAAGATATAGAAAATCATTAGCTTTTAAGAATGTTGAGCGCCAGTTGTTCAAGACCAGTGGTACCGTGGTTAGAAATTAAAACAGTGACAAAGGTGTGCTAAGGCTATATCCCCTCAAAACATCTAAGTAATTTCTTCGATTTCGCCTGCTGTGTCCATTTCTTAGAATTAATTTAAAGTACATAGGTACTTTTGACCTCTTTTTTCTGTCTTTTGAAGTGTAAACATTTTAAACGACACCATCGTGTTTTATATACAACTCTGCTTTATTTGGTTATTAGTAGAGAAACTTTAAATTGAAGGTGAAATGAAAATCTGAAATCACCACAGAGTTTCTGGCCGTTGCTCTACCAACTGAGTTACGAGACTCAAATGGTGACCAGATTTTTATTTCACTTCAGTCATCAAGGGCTTTGCCCGACTACCATGTGAATTCGTGGTGTTACAATAGCTTGGTCGTATTCACACTGGCTGCCTATTCAGGACTTCTCATCCAAATCCAAATCTGAGTTAGAGAGGAGGAACGTTATATTGGTTATCTTCTTGATTATCTGAGATAGCCGTGGTTTGATAGACTAGTATTAGTACTGGATGATAACTAAAGATGAAATGGAAATTCAGACCCAGTATCAGTGACTAGTCTGCCAAACACCGGTTGTCTCAGACGGTCGAAATAATACTTTAAATTTAGTTGTTCAAAAAGTCAACGCAGTATAAAGCGTTATACTGAACCCGTAAGTGCACTTAACGATAACTTAAAATCAGACAGTCAAGTTTCGTTCTTCATTCTTTAGTACTTGTCAAAAGCTAATAAGATTTTCCAGGGGAACTTCCCAAAATGTTTGTATCACACTGACGGTAAGCATAAGCCAAATAGCTTGAAAGCTAAACAGCAAACTTTTTTCCCGAATGAACGGAAGTAATAAATATGGTGTTAATATTTGGTGACTGATTAGCCACTTGAGAAGCACAAAGAAGTATTTCATATGATCTGCCTATATAACCCAATAGTAAGAATATAATTTTCTTCCCGAATTGCCCAAGTTAAAGTCTTCTTGGAATACATGAAAGTAATTTGGTGTTATACACCAGGTATCAGTTAGCAAGAAACCTTGGATCCTAGTTTTTTGCTCTTTTACTTTCATAAGTAAGATCAACTTGCAGCAATGAGGAAGGTGGACTTACCATTTGAACTGAAACCTACATCTCTCATTTTTGGGATCAGAGACTTTACCCATATTTTCTCGGTCACCACTGACTTTCGGTTTAAATGGACTATACTTACGAATCGGTCATCAAACCATGACTGTTTCGTGCAAAAGGATAGTATGGTGTTTAACTACTGACGCAGTCAGATATCTTACAATTCATAATGCAGTAATTTCTGAAAATGATACAGTTTAAAATGTTTAATTTTCATTTTACAAGCGTTCACTTCGAGCATTTTAAGCTAATGTTATGTATACATTAGGAAGTTAATGTGATAAATTATCAGCATGAAACTACAGTATTTGGTTGGATTATTCTGTAAGTCTTCATATATACTTAAATGCGTCTCCTCTTCTTCAGTAAGTTGAAAGACTTCTGAACCAATGAATAAGTTCAAAAGGAGCTAGTAAGCAATAAAGTAATATTTTAAGACACGTTTAGAAAAATGATTCATCTTGCGAAAAAAGTAGGTGTATAACTAGTTGTATAAACCGCCTTAATTTACCCGGGCTTAATCACTTCAAACAATAGTCAGAAGTACAGAATAGCAAACAGTTTCCCAAAGTGAAAGCAAAAAGAAAGGAATATGATTCTTTTCTTTTCAAGCAATACATATTTCTGCTAAATGATAGTGATTATGAAGAATCACCAATATAAGCTTCAGTGGATTACTCATATTTTCATAATCTGTTCCTTCCAGACTGAACTATCCATGCAATCTACTTGTTTATTTCTGTAATAAATAATTAGACGAACACAAATTATTTAGTGTTCTTGATTTTTATTGACTAAGAAATACATTAGAGAGAGTGAAATGGTAAGTGAATGATAAAAGCAGCAAAATGAGTTGAATAATGAGTAATAATTCGAAGAGAGTTATAGCTTGACAATCCGGACAAGACATCCACTCCATAAGGTTAGTTTAAATTCATCTATATAAGTGTAAAACTTCGGCACTGTGGTAGAATGTAGTTCCATATCAGATTTGTTTATTTGATATATAGCGCACAGTGAAACAGTATTATTCACTTCACTACTTTTCGAGCATAAATTATTGCTCATAATCATATCAATGTAATCACACTTCTTTCGATATCTGATTTTATAGTCCTGTCATCTGATTTTTCTTTGGTTTTGTTTTTTTGTTGATTGGTAGTAAAGTTCTCCATATCTCTGGTGTAGGTGTTGCATCATTCCTATTACATGTGTTGGGTGTGGATTCGATGAACAAAGATTCAGTAGGTAATCTCTCTCTCCACCTAGCTATATTAGACTTGAGCACTTCAACTGACACTGGATGAGATGACTTGAAGTCTAGATACCTGGGTTTAGTTAAATGTCTAAATAACAGAGCTAAGAAACTCACTAGTCATTGTAAGGACTTAAATAAGAAATTGAAACACATAAAAGAAGCTTTATTAATCAATAATTATCCCCATCATTTTATTAAGAAATTCACACAAACACATATGAAGCAAAATAATAACAGTAATACAAATACAAATAATATCGACAACATAAGTAGAAAAGAAATCAACACCTCTATTGTGATACCATACAAGGAAGGAACATTAGAAACCATGTGTAGGATTCTCAACAAAGTTGAAGTTAGGGTGGCATTTAAACCAACGAACTCACTTAGAGGTAAACTTTGTCGGCTAAAAAATCCGATAGAACCAATTAGGCAAAATAATATAATCAACCGCATTCCATGTAATGACTGTGAGGACAAATACGTAGGTCAAACTGGCCGGTTGGGGTCAGTTAGATTAGCAGAACATAGGAATTTAGCTAAAAATAGAACGACAGACCCCAATAAGATCAATAATCTAGAAAAACGCTCGACCATTACATTACATTCATTAACACACAACCACACAATAGGGTGGGACAAAACCACTGTGCTCAAGTCTAATATAGCTAGGTGGAGAGAGAGATTACCTACTGAATCTTTGTTCATCGAATCCACACCCAACACATGTAATAGGAATGATGCAACACCTACACCAGAGATATGGAGAACTTTACTACCAATCAACAAAAAAACAAAACCAAAGAAAAATCAGATGACAGGACTATAAAATCAGATATCGAAAGAAGTGTGATTACATTGATATGATTATGAGCAATAATTTATGCTCGAAAAGTAGTGAAGTGAATAATACTGTTTCACTGTGCGCTATATATCAAATAAACAAATCTAATATGGAATTAAATTCATCTACTTCAGTCTTCTTATCCCACCATATCCATCGAAATACAGTTGCAGCTAAGAATTATAAATTGCTCAAGCCAACATCTATTTTGCACATTTGTTATCTGCGCTAACCATTAAACGATATCCCAAGAGGTAACAGTTACAGAACGCTACATTGCTTCGTAAATACGCCGCACAGTCTGTAACAAGATAAAAACACTCAAACAGTATGAATGACCAAAATAGGCTATGGATATTATAAATCTATAAAACAAATTACACTAGTTTCTTGAAAATTGTTAGGAAAGAAACAACCGTGAATCCACTAAGCAAAAATGTAGCTTCATCTAGTGATTTTCACATCCAGTGACCTTAGGTTTGCTATTGGAAAGATGAATTATAGATGAAAGTAAGTAAAATGACTCGTTTGACGAAAAAGGAATAATTACTACAAAACAAAGATGCTTATCCTGCACAGCTTTTGACCTATTCAGTATTTATAACAACTAGATACATGTCTTTGATCCCTTCATCTTCTGATTAACTTAAGAGTAAAACTTGAACACTGTAGTAGAATTTAGCTCCATTTCAGTCGGTTCATTAGATGCACTGATTTGAACCGTCACTTACAGCATCCAACAGGAATGACCCAGCACTTGCTACGGATATATGGAAGATCCTACCACCTGTATCACAAAGAAGGTGAGAAAACCAGAACTATATGAACCAGGTTTCAAAGTTGTGGAGTTATCTTGACTTGACTATAGACAATTTTGTGGGCAAAATGTAACCCAGTAAACAATATTGTTTTAATGTGTTATGCATCTAATAAACGACTTGTTATGAAATCAACTTCTGATCATTTTCAAGAATCAGACTTCTCAAGTTAAGCAATCTGAAGGCAAGTTTTTATCCTGATCAGGCAGCATATTAAATTGGCTTACAGTAACTAGAGCTGAATAACTTGTAAACTTGTGATATACTACATCTAGTTCTCAGTCCTACAGGGGATACACTTCTGTATAATAGAATAATAATCAAAAGTTTAAAAAAGTTAATTTAAGTGCATAACTACTGGTAAATATCAATCTTAATAAGCAGAGAAACGAGCTATTGAGTAATCTTTTACCATCTAGAATTCATTGAATTCAATAAGATGGGAAATACAAGCTTTACTCATTTTCTAATACAATACATATTGAAGTATCATCTTTAAGGTTACATGCTGTCTGTCTGAGATGTACGGTAACTGCTGTTTATCAGAATGAAAAATTCAGTTATACTGACCCAAATAAACAGTTGGAAGCGTCCATGTTCAGAATGTGTTCTAATTTGATGAAAAATGAGATATATATATGAGATAAATGCCGGCAACAGGTGATAATATTCTTTTGGTAACCTTTTCAGGGTAACCATTAACAACCGGGTAACAGTTAGTAATTAAATTTGTCTTATTACATGTCAAATAAGTAGAATAAGTAACTTGTCATACCATCATTTGTTAAAGTGTATGAAACGTTTTCTCCAGCTTATCTCTAATTAATTAAATTACTTACAATTTCTATACGTAAAAATTTCGTAAGTAAATCCTAGTGCACAAGAGGAAGATCAGACAATCGCTTTTTGCTTCAATTCCTTCTAGTTCATATTTACACCAAGTTGTACTAAACTTGATTCAGTGGTTCACTATATAGTTGTTATAACTAATGGGCTGTTGACCAGTCAAAAGATGGAACAAGAACCTAAAATGAAAATAACTGGTACTTATTTTCTCTAACAAGAAGGGTAAAACTTCAACTAGAACCGTTCCCTTATTTTTCAGACGGCAGCAACATTTAAGTAATACTATTAATCAAAATTTTGTTTCTTTTGCAACGATAATACATCTTATTTGTGTGCTTACAAATTCTTAAATAGTCGGGTTCCAGTATACTGTGGACATGTAACTACACCGCAATCTATAGTGAAAAGGACTTATCAACGAGTTTTTAAACCTAATCTTACATCTTCCAAAATATTACATCTTTTTTGTGAAGTAAAATGTGAAAGCAAGGTTACATAAACATTATGATAGTTTCTTCCTAGTATGGAACTCCTCAGCAGTACACATCCATAACCTTGCCAGGGATCGAACTTAAGACCTTCAGGTTTCGTGGTCAGTTCGTTACTAATGAGACATTGGATCGAAATCCAATGGTCCATATTTTCAACTTCTGTCGGTTCACGATATAGCGTGGGAAACGATCAAGTTGTAACACTCTCAAGATCTGGATCTTTATAGAAATTTGAAATTTAAGCAAACTACTAGAAGTAATACATTAATTTACAATTGCGGCTTCTTAACAGTACTTTAATTTATATTAGATAAAGGCGGATAAATAAAAGTAAGCCCCATCTGAAATATTGTAAAGTGTTCAATGTCAATTAAATGCGAAGATGAATATTGTAGACATGGTCATTGAGGTTAATATAGGTATAAGACTTGGCCACTGTGACTGAATTTAATTCCATATTAGATTTGTTTATTTGGTTTAAAATACACAGTGATACAGTACTATTTACTTGATGACGTTTCAGGCATAAATCATTGATCATTATCATATCAGTGATTATAAACACTGTATGTTATAAATCAAACCAACAAATCTAATATGGAATAAGCATTGAGGAATGAAAACCTGATTTCCTCATCAAAGAAAATGTGTAGAATGGTAGTATACTTTGTTATTCAATATAACAGTCCTTTCCATCGAATGTTTTTTGCATAATTCTCTACTATCGAAGCAATATGGCTCCCTAAATAAGTTAAAAAACTACAAGAAAGAACCTCCATAATGGTAAATAAATTTTACTGAGCTCTGCTGTTGACATTAACCTTTTTTATAAGGATGTTATATGTTTTCTCATCATTGAACGTTTTACATAAAGTAAATACTAATGTTTTACTGGTTTATTTAAGTTGTATGAAACTAACCAACTTAAAAAATAAATTGTAATGGTTGTCTCTTCAATACAAAACCATAAATAATATTTTGGTGTAAGACAGATCAGTTATGATATGACTGAATATTGTAAATTTTATAATAATTTTTGAACAAGTGGTATAGAAAATCAAGGAAAGACTTAATGACGGAAACAAAAAGAATTATGTAGTGACAAGTTCATTGGGACTATATTTTTAAGACAGTATTCATCACAGTCTGACATCAGATGCAGCACCATTGAAAACTCGAGATCACCGGACAGCTGTTTCATACTAGTGTGAAAATGAATGGTTAACGCACTCCCCATAAGACCTGAAGTCCCTGAGTTAGATCTCTGTCAGGATTATGAGTGCATACCGCTGAGCAGTCCCATACAAGGAGAAAACAGTTGTTCTGTGTTCCCAGGCTTTCAGCTGTTCCCCAACTGCCTCAAGTCCTTTATGAATACTACCTTAAAAAGTAATTATGTTTGGTTTTGTGATAATCCTACTCATTTTAAATACCTTCGTATCACAGGAAGTGTTATTGCAGAAAGTTGTTTTAGAGTACGGATAATTAGTGGTTGAGACCCTCACTTATGAGGAGGTTTACAGACAGAAAATTTCACTGTGATGTTCTATGTAAATATAAGTAACTTTAATATAGTCTTTAATTAGTAAATTTTAATCTTTACCCTCTGCGAATGCTATTGTCGGTTGAAAGCATAATAATATAATACATATTCCTTAGGCTTTTCGGTTTTTTCTCTAAACTGTTTCTCTTTCTCATATTACCACTGACTAAAAATCATTTATACTCTCAGTAGCTTTACCGTAAGGTTTCTGAAATAACGACTGAATGATACGAGTTTGAATCTACGAAGAAGTCTCAGTTTTTCCAAGGTAACAGAGATTAGGAGCCTGAATTTAGAGCACCTAAACAGTGAATCTCTAACTTCCCACATTATAATATGCTTTTTACTCGTTATTTTGACAAGTAATATCCTTTTAAAAGAATGTCTTACTTTTTATTTTGAATTCTCTATCATCTAGCCAAGTTTGAGCCAATATATGATCCTGAACTTGCGCATCATATGATTCTGTTTGGTTGTAATGAAACTGGATCTTCAAAAGGCTTGTGGTAAGTTTATCTGTGAATAATAATTGTTAAGAGTTGATTAGTTAACTAATGGAATAAAAATATGCAGTCGTCCTTTCGATAACAAAATGTAAAACCCAAATATCCTTTAAAATTTCTGCAAATCAAGGAACATTATGTTTGTCACAATTTCTAATATTTTAAAAAATGAGACAAAAGAAGTTATGCCCCAAAAAGTAGCGGAAACCATATTGTAGAATGTTTTATGACCATCAGTTTTTGATATTTTCCGGTCCCATAACTAAAAACACTGCAGCAGTCATCGACATGTATAAAGATTAGAGGATATGAAGATAGTAGTAGGTAGTATTTAGTCATGAAAAACTTAGCAGATCGTTCTATCATACTGACTACACATTCTCTCTAACTGAAAAGTCTACTCCTTACTAGATTGTCTTAGCTTACAATTATCTCTTAAAGAAAGCACGTTTGCATACATATACTTACCAAAGACAAACTGTGAGCATTTTCATTGCATGGAATCCCTCATTATCTTTTGGAAAGTTCAACAGTCACTGGTAGTTTATTGGTTTTCAAACTCTCCCCAACCTACAGAGGTTTGGGCAGTCAGGTAGCATCATTAGCTCTCACACATCAAGTGAGGCTCATTACATGCAGCACAAATGTGCACAAAGTTGCTGAGTGCACTTCAGTTGGTTCTTTGAATGATTATCCCAGTATTTCTGTCACCATTGTCATTGACATTATTTAATGGTGGTGACTACCTCCAATTCAGTGCTTTGTAGCAGTCAGCACTGCTGAGAAATTCTCCGTCAGGGATTTTCATAAGTAGACTAATCAGCCTCATTTCCAGAATGAGCTAATTTTCTGGATCCTCCATATTGATTAAGTAAGGTTACAGACTTTCAGATAAACAGAATATCCACTTATTTATTTTTTCCGTTGAATATTATTTACTTACAGAAACAAAAATACAGGAAAAAATGATTCTGATCACCTTACGCATTTCTTGGTCTAAATAAATCCAGTTAGAATTGTTCCCAAAACGCTAGCAACACCCTCCTTCCTTCCGATATTATTTAAATAATTCAGTAAATCCATCCATTAATTCGACCATTAGATATTTTCTGCTTAGTTTTACTAACAATTCAAGCAAAGTGCACGATTTAGGAGCCATGTTCTCAAAATGCATAAGAACTTTACTTGTAAGTAAGATATACCCCTTGAAAAAATCCCATTATTATAAGCTAAAAGAAACAAACTCTTAGTTCTTTCTTCAACTTGAAAAGAGAAAGAACATGCTTTGTGCAGAATAATATGTATCCATTTTATAATTTCATTGGTTCATTTGAACTGTGTAAGGTTTAAAACCTGAAAACTGCGAACACCTTGTTTTTTAATCGTTCGTGTAGTAGGCACTTAGCAGCACCCATTTTGTAGGTGCTAGTGATACTATTTTATTACCTAGATTTCGTTGCGTGAAGAAATGTTCGAAAACATGACCCATTGATTACATGTCGAGTGCCGATTCCACTGAACCACAGACCCACATTCTGTAAATGGAAATCAGCAAATTAGTAACTAAAAAAACGATGAATGAGCCTCATTAAGAAGTGATTTCAAATATATGTGGACGCCATCTAGGTGGTCAAGGTCAATCGATAGAAAGCCTTGAATATGGACCTCATACTTGTTCACACTCATTAAAAAAATACCGGTATCAAGGTGGAAACTAGTGTTCACTTGGTGATTCAAATTCGGGCCACCAGCTGTTGAAGTCGGATGAGACATGTTGATGAGTGCCGAGAAGCGTAAGACATCGGTCTATGAGAATTTGTCAACTGTCCCCATCTAACCTCATATTATAGCGCATCACCTCATCACTTTGCTTAGAGACCACTTTTGACAATTTGATCAACAGACGTCGATTAATGCCAAAGAAATGCAAACGAGATGCCTGAATCGGATACCTATTGGTGAAGAAACTTTTTGATAGGGTTACCAACCGAATGCTGCGAAACTTAGAAAAAGCAATTCAGTAAGCCAATCAGTCTGTGAACCTCCCCTGGTTAACTAGTTCACGAGTTACTAGCTAGTCCCAAGCCCGGGTAAAGAGGGAAGGTAGGGCATGGGGCTAGCAACCGTACCCCGTAAAAACAATCCAACCGCTACAGAAATTTCAAAGCACAAACAAAACATAAAACACAAATCAAACGTATTTCTCGCTGGAATCAGAGAGACGAAATGACGCCGATTGATGAAAGCCTTCGGGAAGCCAATGCGCCGATGTATCTACTCTCGATGAAAGCGAAAGTAAACATGGGGAAATTGAATTTCCGCACCATGTTTGAAACTAGGAAGGCTGCTAAGATTGCAAAAGAGATGAGAAGGTATGGTATGGGAGTGCTTGGAATCTGCGAGAAATCTGCAGATGGAATGGAAGTGGACTCTCCAAACTGTCAACTGGAAAGTCAATAATCTACTATGATATCGCCACTCAGACGACAACCACGAGCACACTGAGTTTTCCAGTGGTTATCGTGATGTCCCGCTACCAAGAGCAGCGAAGGCTCTTATAGAGTGGAAACCAATCTCCTCCACTAAAATAACTTTAAGATTAAACACAAAATGAAAGTCAAAAATAAACAATGCTACGCGAATACAAATAACGCAGAAAAAGGGAAGAAGGAGGAATTCTACAGACAAATGCAATCAGTAAGAGACAACATACCACTCCACTTGGCGACAACAAAATCCTATTGGTTGGGTTGACATGAATGCTAAACTGAGGGCGGAAAACACAGAAAGAGAACCAACTGTAGTCGAGCACCGCTCCGTGAAGTGAATGAGAGTGGAGAATGGTTTCCAGTGTTCTGCAACCCAAGCGATAAATCATAATAACAATGATAAAATTGGTCCAATTACTCATTAATGTAAATAGCGAAAAATCATAATATATCGTGTGAAAAAATTCTCTGCACTCTACTTCACAATGATTAAAAAAGTGTATCATTGCAATCTGACTAATTAGGTTTAAATTCCTGATGTTACATAGAACATATGCAAATAGTTTCAGAAGACTGACATCACTATTCCAAGCGTGTTTACTTCTTGTATTTAAGGTTCAGTTAGTTTCTGGTATACATTTAAACAACGTTTTGTTCCCTCGGAAACAGGCAACATTACTGCTGTATTGTCCTAAAGTGCATAGCGTAAAAGCATGATCATGGCCTTATTATCATATGCCTATCACTATAACTTTAAGCTTTGTTGACAAAATACCAATACATGCCTTTGAAAAATATATTTACAACATCAATATATTTATTTACACGCATATTCTCATATGTTTACATATTTTTGATAATTGCTTATAAACTCCTAATGAATATATTTCAGCATTCAAATGTATAGGTGTACAATTAGATTTGTTGCTGTGTTCTTACGTGCAAGATAAAGTTCATTAAAGTACTCTTGTGTTGTGACAAAAATTTCACCAATGACAAAGAAGAGTAGTTCATCATTGTAGAATTAACAGTTGGAAGATGGTCAGTAAAACCATTTATCTTAAGGTATCCGTGGTCATTTATGAAATGTGTAGATATTAGCATCCCTTTCATAACATATGTTGTACATAGGTAAATGTTTACAGAATTCTAGCAATAAAGACCTTATGCCTCACACCTTAAATCTAAAGTGAATTATAAGAATGAGCTTATGACTTCAGAAAGTAATCAAGCATTATAGGTTAACACACTTCAGGTGAACAACTTTCAATTTCATTTCATAAGTGAGACGTGAGGTGTATTAACACTGTATATTTCAAACGATCTAACCACACACCCATTAGTCATGCATATTTATGAAATATAACGATAAATGATGGTTATCAAAGCTAACTGACAGAACAAATGGCTAAATTCCTAGTTTAGAGGTCAAACGACAGATGAAAGGAGGAAGAGAAAATGCATAAATAATCCATGACTATAAAGTTGGGTTTTCAAGGCAGGTTACTGTAAAACTAAATTGTTTTGATCACACAAATTATGCCTATACTCCCTTATTTTTAGATACACAACAAATTCGAGCGTATACCCCTAGTAGATTTTGTGCCTAGATTTGGAAGATACATGTTAACCAGTGAAAATGAAAATGAAAAAAATCTAGTTAAAGATCAAAATGAACATTAGTTGAGTAGGTCGGCGTGGTTATTCAGTTTGATTTAGTGTTGCAGTGCTTTTGAAGTGTACCTCATGGTCATTGCTTGTGGAGGTCGACGGGTCCACTTTGCGTATGTGTGTTCACATCTACACGCAAACTGATAAAGCCATTGTGATATGACCTAATTGCTCAAATGCTATGAGGGTTTACAAAGTTGTAATGTTGACCCTATTTGCACAATGTATTGCATGGATTGGCATTTGGTTGTCAGAATTCATGAATCACCCATATACCTTAGAACTATATATACATATTTCTTTGAAATGAAGGAAAGATTTGTAGTTGAGGATGAGGATGTTGGTATTTCGGTGTCGTTTAAGCTTCGATATTTAGTTATAGACGTTCTAGCACCAAGCTCACTACTGAGGACTTCACCAAGGCTGGAGATGAAAGGTCCACGACAAAACAATAAAGCTCGGAGAACACCGAACGACTAATGTATTTCTTTGGAACTGACTGAACAATGGTTGTTCTTTGAACTGTGATCAAAACCAGAAAATGTTGTGGTATGCATCAGTTTTCAGAAAGATGTAAGCTGATTTAAATCCAGTTGTAAACAGAAGAGTTAAAACAATCTGCTCCTCACTACTAACACTGTAAGAAGATTTTCATAAACTGAACAGTGAAAAAACTAACCACCTTCATCAACATAGTTGACCTAAGTTCACTGTGAATATCAAGTTGCTACCCATCATGATATGACAATATTTGAAGAGCCAATGGATATTCAAGAGAACTGGGCAGTTGTTTCGTGCCAGTATGTGACTCCTCAGGAGTGCACACCCATGACCCTAACAACGATCG